CCGCGTCCGCCCAAAAAGTTTTTGGTAGACCTACATGTACATGCATGCTCCTCGCACGCTCTGTCAGCATTCTGTTCATTCTTTCTGCTACGCCGTTTTGTTGCGGCGTCCCTGGAGTAGTCCTCTCCAAACGAATCCTGTTCAGAGCACAAAACTTCTTGAACTCCTCCAGCTCATATTCTCCACTATTGTCTGATCTCAAACACTTCACTTTCAGATCTTTCTCATTCTCCACCATGGCTTTCCACTTCTTGAAGATGTTGAACACCTCTGACTTGTGGTTCATAAAGTATACCCACACCTTCCTCGAGTGATGGTCGATAAAGGTGACGTAGTATACCGAACCGCCAAGAGAAGACATGCTAGCTAGACCCCATACATCTGTATGAACAAGCTCTCACTTGTGAGCTTTAAGTGGTCTTCCACCCTTCAGGAAACTAACTCTCTTCTACTTCCCGAAGATGTAGTCTTCACAAACACTAACTTCTACCGAATCAATGCATGTTAGCTTTCCTTCTGAGTGTAGAATCTTTATACTCTTCTCACTCATGTGTCCTAGCCTATTATGCCACAGATCTACACTCTCCTTACCTGCTGCAATTGCGAGGGTGTCACTTGCATGTGAAGTTAGGTAGAGGGTACCGGTCTTGTTGTCACGGGCAACCACTATTGTACCGTTTGAGATTTTTCACGAATCTTCGGTGAATGTTGTAACATAGCCTTCTGCTCCAAGCTGACCAACTGAAATAAGATTCCTCTTTAACTTCGGTACGTGTCTGACATTCTTTAGAGATCACTTGGAACCCTTCAACTGTATTTGCACGTCGCCTCTTCCAATAACACTACAGGGTTCATTATCCCCCAAGTATACTTTTGCAAAGTCCCTTGCTATATAGTTCTGAAATAGCCTTCTATTAGCAGTGTGGAAAGAGGCTCCCGAATCAATGACCCATGAATCAGAATCGATATCCATAGCGAGAATCAATGCATCTTGCACAATATGAGCCTCCTGCTCATTTTTATCCTTCTTCGGTGCTTTACAGGTAGAAGACATATGGTCCTCCTAGCCACAATTCCAACATTTCCCCTTGATAGGTCTCACCTTCGAGTTCGACATCTTCTTCTTCGACTTCGATTAATTCCTGTTTTGGATCCCCCTATTATAGCTTCTGCCTCTCTGCTCGAGACTTAGGGCTGAACCTGAACCTTCTAATTCTTTCAATTTTCTTCTAACCTCCTCGAATAGAATCATAGCTACCATCTCGTTATGCTTCAACTTCTCATTCCCCGTCGAGTTGCTGATTGCGGTCACGCATCCTACCTAACTATCCAGCAACTGTGATAGTATCAATAGGGCCTGCACTTCGTCATCAAACGTGATGTTGACTGAGATGAGTTGATCAACAATCATGTTGAACTTGCTGAGATGCATCATGAAGGAACATCCTTCTGCCATCTTGAGGTTGAATAGCGTTTTGACGAGATGCACCTTATTTGCAGTTGACGGTTGCTCGTACATTGTTGCGAGTGCTTCCATAAGCCCTACCATCGTCTTCTCCTTTAATATATTGTGTGCTACAGATTTTGCGAGTGCCAATCGAACTGCCTCAGGGTTTTTCGATCCAAAATTTCCTAGTCCTCGTCAGATTCTTCTTTCTTCCGTCCTTTTTCTTCACCCATCAGCGGACGGTAAAGATCCTTCTGGTACAGATAGTCCTCCATCTGTGATTTTCAGTAGGCGAAGTCTGACCTGTCAAACTTCTTAATTTTAGATTTGCCTTCTTCTACCATTTCTTACACGCACAGATCTGAACAAGGTCTCTGATACCAGTTGTTAGGAAATCAAATATGCTCTGATACCCGTTGTTAGGGATTCAAGCTACCAAATGTTGGTACAACTGCTCCTTAGCTATTCGACCACCTGTCAAATATGAACCATTTGCAGAATTTGCCCTACCAGATCTTGTGTTAAGTAATGGAAAAAAGAAATCACAGCAAATTAAAATTGCAAGAAAAGAGAACACCGAATTTTAACGAGGATTGGCAACTTGCTTACATCCTCGGGAGCCACACAAATAATTTCCTTTATATTAAAGAAGATTACAAAGCTTGCAAAGGAGTAGATCTCAAACTTGCGATCTCTCTTAAAGAAGCAAACAGAAAGCTATCTGTTGGCGCGAATTTTTCCAACAGGAAAAACTCCTCTCTCCTCAATAAATCGCTACAGGAACTCTTCTTAAATGAACGAGATTTTCCTCTGAAAATATCGAGCTCAATTAATGGCTGCCGCCTTAAATAATCGCTGAGAAGAATAAAACGGAACGGGGGCAGAAAGGTCTCATGCTCATGCGTTTCCCTTAAATAGGGAAACCCTAGCCAACAGCTGGATCCAGCCGTTCCCAACAAACGCAGGCGAGGATCAAAAGAGAGCTCGCCTTACCTCGTTCTAAAAATCTGCCTGCAGCTTGTCGAAACCCGCTTGCGAGATCACAAGCTCGCCAACAAGTCTTCGAGCTCGCCTGCGCCACACACGTGAGATCTCGCCTGTAGGGCCTTCACTTGATCTCACCTAAAGCCCATCAACTTCTCGCCTGAGCTCGTATTCATGTCGAGCTCGCCTGTAATCATCACGACCTTGCCTGAAGTCGCCGCGGACCTCGCCTGCAACCAGCGACTTCGATCTCGAGCTCGCCTCGACTTGGACCTCACCTGAAGCCCGTCTAGGTCGCCGGAAGCTCGCCGCCGACCAGGTTTGGGTCTACACCCAATTTCCAACACAAAGCTGTGACTTCAGCTGCTAGTTTGCTGGACAAATTAAGCATGGGCAAAAATAATACGTAGGGTAAGTCTTTTAAGGAGATAGCAGCAATATAGAACAAGAGCCGAAGAAAAAAGCAAAGGCAAAGGAGCCAACTTTGGCAGATATAAGGCCTAAAGAATCAGTAGTCCTAACAATTATTATCAATTTGCTTCCTCTTCTCACATGAGTTAGTGTTCAGTTCATGAGTTTTCAAGTCATTGGTTTGAGAGATGTGAGGACTAGTCTGCGGACTTATTAGTTGAAGGGACATATGAATACATAAGAATGGGTTCTGTTTTAGAAGAAAAATTTGAGTTAAGGGATGTGTGCAGTAGTGATTACATTTGATTTTTTGCGGGGAAAAAAAACCCAGATAATGATCTTCCCTACCAGATCTTTTCCCCTACATATATGCGGTTCCTTTTTATCTTCTTCTTATACTAATCAAATATATGAAGTGAGCGTTAGTTGGTCATGTGCTTCTTCTCTTTCGTGGAGATCACATGCAAAATTCACCACTTGCTACCAGTAAAAAGCAAAATATTAAGGCACATCACTAATATCATTGTCAGTTTTCATTTACTCACTAGTACAAAATTGGTCTGTCCAAACAGTTATTTGAATAGTTTGGACAAATCAAGATAGCCCAAACGGGTTAAACCATTTGGGATAATTATCCCAAACAGTTTAAACCGTTTGGGCTTTAAAAAAGCCCATATGGAAGTCCCAAACTGTTGTAACCGTTTGGGATAATTTATCCCAAACGGTTACAACCGTTTGAGAGTTTTGTGATGGTCAAAAAACACTGATGTTTCCCCCATTCTCCCCAAAACTAACCCACGATATTTCCCCCGAATAAAATCCCTAAAATACACCCCCAATCTCCCCAGCCCTCGAGTCTTCATCGTTGAAGTCCAGCCGCGGCCACCGGCCAACGCACCTCTCCACTGTCGTCCACCGGCTCTCGCCAGGGAACTTGCTTCTCCGCCTCCTCCTCCACCGCCTCTCGATTCCACCGCATCCTCCTCCACCACCTCCACCGCCTCTCGATTCCATTGCATCCTTCTCCACCGCCTCCACCGCCTCATCCTTGATCAGGTCCCGCCATCCGCTCTGTAAATTATTATTATCTCCTCTCTACAAAACCCTAAGCCTAAGTTTTTTTAAATGATTATTGAATTTTAAAGCATATATTTTAATATGTGATTATGTTTACTAAAGATTATAAGTATTCTGGGAAAAGATTTTGGACATGCATAATAGAAATGAATTAGCTCTCAACTCTAAACAATATGTCATAATGTTTGGTAATCAATAGATAAATGGAATTTGATTTTCTGTAAGAAACTTCTGGAACCAGTTCTCCTCAGCAACCAATTTCCAAATCTGGTTACAGAAATTTGCCTTCTCCATTAGCTCCTTCATCTGATAAAAGATTTGTCGACTTATTTTAAAAATGATGTTTAGTGGAATAATGTTCCTCCAATTTCTATTCTAGATTATTTGTGAAAAGCTGCTTGCTGATAGCGTACATAGATTTAATAAACATATTGTAGTATATTATTTGTACAAGTATCATACATAGTATACATATAAGATATCACAGATTTGTGCGCAAGTCACGAATAATTGTAAATTCACATTGCAAGATAGATAAATACTCATTTAAATATATTAGCATAAACTGCATCAATCATTAAGCAAATCAAGGTTGATAATAAATTAAATCACATGCACAGAAAATCATTACGAAGTCATTACAAGCAGAGAATACAAACAAAGTTACAATTTACAGGGTATACACATTGTGATATAGATTGTAATAAGTATAATCATTTATATATTTATAGAAGAGTCGATAACATGATGACTTGAGTAATAAGGTTAGATGGATCAATTAGATCTACAGACAAGGTACGAGCAACACGCATAAAAGTAGGTTACATTAATACCTCATGATTTATATAATATTTACATTTTTTAGGTACGAGCAACACGCATAAAAGTAGGTTACATTAATACCTCATGATTTATATAATATTTACATTTTTTCTATTTTATTTAATAAAATGAACATGTTTAAACTATTTAGCTTTTAATTGTAACCCTATTTGAAGCAAAGTCATTATCATGCTTTGCTTATTTCCTAAATCCATATTTTTAGAGGTCGTTACTAATAAATTATTTTGTTTTGGTTAGCATGACCCATAACTACATCAGAGATAAGGATTGGATGTACGCGGGTCATGCAGAATGCATGCAATCTATTTTCATTAATGGAGTTAGTGCTTTCATGGATTTTGTACGCAGACACGATATGATCCAATATGGGAGACTCATTTGTCCATGTAAATTATGTTTGAATAAGTTGCATCAATTGGAGGAAGAAGTAGAACTTCATATTGTGAAGAATGGTTTTGTTAGCGATTATAAAACTTGGGTATATCATGGAGAAATTGAAGGTTTCAGTGATGCAGATGAAGAAGAACAAGAAGAAGACAACTTGTTTATCGATAAGGAAATGGAGGAAATAGTTGAGGTAGCTCTTGGTAATACTAATCGTACTGAAGATCTTCCTTTTGGAGGAGGACATCGTGAAGACAATTATGATAAATACATGAATGATGCTAGGAGGCCCATTTATGAGAATGCAAAACACTCCACGCTATCATGGTTCGTCCATCTATTCCAGATTAAATGTCTAAATAAAGGAGCAACAAGTCATTTACGATGCTCCTCAAGTTTCTTAAAGATTCTATGCCTTCGGGGAACCATGTGCCTGAGACCTAATACGAAGCTCAAAAGATAATGTCTAATCTGGGTCTGAAGTGTGAGATGATAAATGCATGTCCTAATGATTGTATAATTTACTAGAAAGAACATTCATATAAGATAGAGTGTCCTACTTGCGGAGAGGCTAGATATAAGAAGAAAGTACACGGTCAGAAGAAAGATATACCTATCAAGATAGTACGATACTTTTCCATAACACAGAGGCTGTAGAGGTTATTCAAGTGTAAGAAGACATCAGTGGCAATGACTTGGCATCAGCGTGCATGTCTAAGTGAAAAATGGACGAATGAGTCATCCTAGAGATACACCTGCATGAAAGAATTTTGACAATAAGCACCCAACATTTAGTCAGGAACCTCGCAATATCAGGCTGGGATTGGCTAGTGATGGCTTTTTCGCTTTTAGCTTTAATGGCAATCCCCACAGCACATGGCCCGTTGTGATGATGGTTTATAACCTTTCACTGTGGTTGTCTATAGGCCAATTATATTTCATGATGCCTCTTCTTATTAATGGTCCTAAGTCATCGGGAAACAATATTGACATCTACCTTCGACCTCTTATCGAAGAGTTAAGATCTTTATTCATCGATGGTGTGGAGACGTTCGATGCAGACACAGGGACAAACTTCACCACGCGTGCAGCCTTAATGTGGACAATCAATGATTTTCCTACGTATGGAATGCTATCTGGTTGGTCTGTACATAGTTACACTGCATGTCCTTACTGTCATCTCCATACAACATCGAGAAGGCTACCCTTTAGTAAAAAGACATGTTATTGCGGTCATCGGTGCATGTTGGATGAAAATCATCCGTACAGAGATGACATCATCTACTTTGATGGTACTAAAGAGAAACGCCAGCGTCCAGACCTATTATTCGGAGAGGATATACTTGCTCAGTGGAATGTCAAAAACAACATGACTTTTGGAAAAGGTAAGGGAAGACAAGAAACACCATAAGGGTAGAACAAGAAAAGTATATTTTTTAAACTACCCTACTGGAAGACAAATAAAGTGCGGCACAATTTAGACGTCATGCACATTGAGAAAGGAGTATCTGAGCACATACTTAACTTACTTCTCTGTAAAGATGAAAAATCAAGAGATAACCTCAAAGCTCGAAGGGATCTCCAGGCGTGGAACATTAGAAAAGAGTTGCATCCTATACCAAAGGCAGACAATCCAAACCAGTTTGTACTCCCCAATGCCGTGTATCACATGTCACCAGATGAAAAAAAAAGTTTCTTCAGGTGTTACATGAGTTGAAGGTTCCTACGGGGTTTTCTGGATCATTAAAAAAGAAGATAAAGATTGTTAAAGGTAAGATCGAAGGGTTGAAGAGTCATGATCACCATATTATTATGGAACATCTTCTTCCATTATCTCTCAGGGCTTCCCTCCATAAATCAGTCGGTTTAGTGATCAACAATCTTTGCAGATTCTTTCGAGAATTGTTTGCTAAAAACATTGAGGATGATAAGTAAAAGAAGCTAGAGGCTGAAATTCTCTTAATTTTGTGCAAGCTTGAGCGGATTTTTCCACCATCATTCTTTGATATGATTATACACCTGACTGTTCATCTTGTAACTGAGGCTAGGCTTGCCGGACCAGTACAATATCGATGGATGAATCCCATCGAAAGGTACCTTTAGTTTTTCAGTTAATGTAATCGATATATTTTTATTTTATAGCTTGGATGTGGTGATTTAATGTAACTTTTTGCAGGTACCTTCTCACTCTGAAAAATTATATTCGCAATAGAAATCGACCAGAGGGTTCTATTATGGAAGGTTATCTGTTAGAGGAAGTAACCACTTTTTGTTCCCGTTATCTGGATGAAGACATTGAGACAAAACTCAACAAACCTCTTGTAATTCATGACGGACCATCTAAAAAGCCAGATTATAACAGAACGACTCTTACATTTATCAACAAGATTCATCGCTTTATCCTTCTTAATATCGAATGCCTTAGAGAAGTTAGAGAGTATGTCTATTCCCATAATTATATATGTTTATATGATGTAATATACTTCTCACATTAATTACTCATTTTGACATTAGAATACACAAGGATGAAATACGTGCAATGCATAGTAATTGGAATGAGGCACGTGTTGAAACACATCATCAGAATAATTTTTGCAATTGGTTTAAACATTATGTAAGATTTCTATTATCTCATTTTTTTGACTCATTCTATTAATTTAATCTAACATCTTTATGTAATTACCGTATTAACCTTTTTGTCAGAGCCGATTACCAGATGTAGAATCAATATTAGATAAGAAACTTGGATATTTGGCTACACTTCCAGATGCTAAAGTTAAATACTATAAAGGATTCGATGTTGGCGGTTATAAGTTTGAAATCAAGTCTATAGAAGAATCTCGAACCACCCAAAATTGTGGAATTGCAACCATAGGCACTAATGATGAGACATACTATGGGTACCTTGATAACATACTTGGTATCAACTATCTAGGACGAGCAGGATGCATTTATGTCTTTCAGTGTGTTTGGTATGATATGAAGACTGGAACTGGTAAGTGGAGAGACAATTACGGGACTAGGGTGTAGGCATCAAAAATTGCCTATGGATTCCCACACGTAGGTCAAGACAAAGAGAACATGAGAAGCGACATCGTCCGAGTAAAAGAAGTTTATCTGACGGCAATGAAACACATGAAGCAAATCGGTAAAAGCGCACAAATCAACAAATTGACAAAACACGCGTAAAAGGGAAAGCAAGTGAACCGAAGTAAATACAAACAGCCAAAAGAGTCAAAAAGACATAACAGCTGGCCAGAAGACTCGCACTCATGTGAGTCACCAAATGGTGACTCGCATAGCTCCGAGTCACCAAATGGTGACTCGCGTACCTCCGAGTCACCACGACTATTTAGGCCTCCCAAATTCCCAAAATGCGGATTTTGATGTTTTATTAGAATTCTTTCGTCCCAGGACCTCTACAATTGTTCTGAAGCTATCCTTAAGAGCGCCTGGGCAGTTATCAACTGCAGATGACATCAAAATAATTGATCTTATCAGAAAACGCTGTTACAAAAGCCTATAAATAGAAGCCCGGGGTCTTCATTGGAGAGGATCTGAAATCTGAGGGCGAGGTGCTGTCAAATTGAACAGTAGACCACGAATTTCAGAGGAGAATTGGCAGATCATGGTGAACTTTTTCATAAAGAAAAAGCCTTCAAAAGATTTGAGATTCTCTCCCCCTCTTTCCTCCGAATCTAACATGGGTTTGATCTCGAGAAGAGCCACAATCTCGCTTGGTCGTGATTGTCGCTGCTACAATTATTTCCTTCATGAAGCAAGAGCATAATTACACTTGTCAACTGGATATGATCCGTGACGATCCACAGACTAATGTGTCCCCGGCACAGGCAATGATCCTACACAAAGTAACAGGAGATAAACTACTGCTGTGTGTTGTTTTATAAAGTTGTAATCTTTACTTTTCTCATTATAAGAAGATCTTATAAAAAGATCAACTCGAACTTGTAATCGATAAACGGTGTAACAGGTTTGACAGTAATGAAAAAGATAACTTTTGACGAAAACAAACTGGCGACCACAGTGGGAGGCGACGGCCTTTCTACGAAGGCTGTGGTGTCGCAACCAAGGGTTCTCATCCCGGTTAACGAAGAGGTCGAATACGAGTTCGACCAACAGAAGTATGAGAGTATATTTCTTCCTCCTCCAGATCATCTTCTCCTCAAAAGAGCAAGAAGATCTATTCCACAAGGAAAGTTCGTTGGTCTTCAGATCTGAAGACCCAAGATGAGGAGATCTGCACCATTAATGCTGTAGTTTCATCCCCTAACGTTCCTACGATTTCTGAAGAAGCCGGATCTTCAGGACTGAACCATTCTTTAATCAAGGAGCCTACTGCTGAAGACGTGCCAACTCTGTCAAAGAGAGCACGGTAAAGACGACGCTAACGCCTTGCACGCCAACTCACCATGGCTTTGGAGCCAGTTGACGGGATCTGGTATGAGGCGGACCTGAGGTTTAGGAGGCACCAAATGCCACAACAGCGAGCGAGTATTTTCGCCTCCAAACCAGTAGCAGATGAGTGGATTCGCGTCAAAAAGACCCGTTCAAATCTTGAGGTTTCATAAGATCCATCATCCAATTGAATGAGCCTGATGGAGAAATGACTATCAAAGGTGGTAGTTAACTTGATAGTTATGGGGGCCTGCTATCTTATTGGAAAGGATTGGCGAGAGAATTTGGTTTTGGTCCTAACTATAGAGAGTTTTGACCAGGCGGGAGATTTAGGATGACCCTAACTATTCAAAGTTTTAGTCGTCCATCTTGAAAGTGAACCTCTCATTCTTAGAAGGAATCGAGAGGGGATTTTGGCTCTAGTCCTAATTGTAGGAAGGTTTGACCGAGTGGAAGATGCAAGGAGCAGTTTAGCCTCGTGCATCAGTAGGAGGAAAGAAGGAGCAGTTTAGCCTCGTGCACCAGTGGGAGGATTTTAATCATTTTGGAGATGATTAAACAGTAATAGCGGGAGGTTGTCAGGTTATCCTTAAGAGTATTCTCTAGGAACTTACCGTCAAAGGTAGGGAACAATCTATCCTCATATACCAGTTGGAGGTTTGGGAATAGTTTATACTTGTATATCCGTTAGAGTAAAGGAGAATCAGTTTATACTCGTATGCTCGTCGGAGTATAGGGGAAGCAGTTTATACTTGTATACTTGTCAGAGTATATGAAGAGGTTGTAAGAAGACTAGGGATAATACTTCTTCAGGAATTTGCCATTGATAGGCATCAGAACCTTATCGCCATTCAGTTTGACGAGGTGATAAGCTCCATTTGAATAGACTGCTTCTATTATAAATGGATCTTACCATTTGGGTCAGAATTTACCTTTCTTCTTAGAGTTGATGATCATGGGTCACCGAATTATGAGGACCAGGTCTCCCTCCTTGAAGGACCTATGTCTGACTTTCTTGTCGAAAGCCTTGGAGATTCGGGCTTGATAGAACTTAATGTGCTACTGGGCTTCAAGCCGCTTTCCATCTAACGCCTTGAGTTTTGCGAGATGTTGTTGCTGACTTTCTTCAGTTGTCATCCCTGTTGCAAGTGAGACGCGTAGGAATGGAATCTGAATTTCGAGTGGTGGGACGGCTTCGCAACCGTACACATTTGAGAAAGGTGTGATGTCGGTCAGTGTACAAACTGTGGTTCGATAAGCCCATAAGCTTTCACCGAGCTTCTCATCCTAGTTGTGTTGCTATTAGTGGTCTACTTGGTCAAGATCTTAATGATCGTCTTGTTGAAAGCTTCGGCTAATCCGTATGCTGACGGATTATAAGCTGTGGACGCTAGGTTCTATATTCTGAACTTGTCACAGAACTAAGTGAAGGCATGACTGACGAATTGTGATCCCTTGTCATGAATGATGCACCTCAGGATGCCGTATCGGTAGATAATGTGATGTTTGATGAACTTGATCATATCACTAGTTTTGATTTCTCTTAAGGGCATGACTTCGGCCCACTTGGAGAAGTAGCTGGTTATTGTAAGGATGAAGCGATGACATTTGGCTGATGGGGGAGAAATCAGTCCGACGACATCCATCCCCTATGTCTCAAACAGCTATGAAGTCACTGTTAGATGTAGGTCTTCGGGTGGCTTGTACATGTAATTAGCATGGATTTGACATGCGTGGTAACTCTTGGCGTAAGCGACAGCGTCATGGACCATTTTGGGCCAATAATAGCTAATTCTTCGCAAGCGGTCCAAGAGCTTGGGTCCGGGTTTGTGAACTACGTAGGTGCCACCGTAGGCTTCCCGTAGGGCTTCTTGTGCTTTTGTCGTAGAGAGACATCAAAGCAGCATGCCGTCGTACGACTTTCGATACAATGCCTTTGTGGTTGCATTGTAGTAGAATCTCGGTGCGCGTCGGCGAACATAATCTTGCTCCTTGATGTCTTTAGGAAGTATACCGTACAAGATGTAGTTGATGATCGGAAAGCGCTAATCTATCAATTCGGGTTGATCGGTCGCCTGGTGAGTTGCATTCACCTCCAGAGCATACTCCAGTTGGTAGAGTTGTCAGCTTGCGACAGTGACTTGTTGGCTTGTCCCCAGCGATTGGGCTAGGTTAGCTGCCAATGATGCCACTTCATCTGAGTGCGTGTTCTTGGAACGGAGCACATGCTCGCTATGGAAACTGTCAAATGATTAGGTTTGCTTGACGGCTACTTGGTGACATGGGATTAAGTTATCATTCCTGACTTCTGTAGGCTGTCTAAAAATCACAATAGATAGCTAATTCCCCATCAAACACCAATGATGGAAGTTACAATCTGACGACTTTCAGAAGGTTACAATTTGAAGACTTTCACGTAGACCGATGAAGGTTACAATCTGACGACCTTCGCAACAACTGATGAAAGCTCTAATCAACAGCCTCCACAATCAACATCGGGAGTTACAATCTGACGACTCTCACATATCAAAGAGCTAAAGCAAATATTACAAAGCGACGATCTTTGTAACGCTCTGACAGAAAGAGACTACAAATTGACGGTCTCTTCAAACTAAGACGTGGAAGTCCTCCCCGCGTACCAGTATCAAGACACACCGTGTTCATAGCCACGAACGTAGCTCAGATGTAGCTTCCAACACTGCCAATGCAGCTTCCAAATCGCTGCAAACACAGCTCAGACGCATCTTCCAACGCTGCCAACACAACTTCCAAATCGTTGCAAACGCAGCTCAGATGTAGCTTCCAACGCTGCCAACGCTGCTTCCAAATCGCTGCAAACACAGCTCAGACGCAGCTTCCAACGCTGCTAGTGCAGCTTCCAAATCGCTGCAAACACTGCCAACGCAGCTTCCAAATCGCTGCCAACGCAGCTCATGTTCGGCCGCAAACGTAGCATCTAACTGCTGCCAACGCAGGTTCCATCTGCTGCCCAATGTAGCTCGCAACCACTACGTTCAAATGCAGATTTCATTCCAGAATGCAGGATTTGCATTTGACTTGTTCAAACACGAGCTGAACGGTTTCAAAACCGTTTTCCACGATCTAAGGGGATCACAACTACACTCAGGAGTGATTTTTGGGGGTGGTTACATCCCATTAGCCCCACTTAGGAGCGAATTAAGGGGGCGGTTACACCCCTTAATCCCCTATAAATAACTAAGAAATCAGCTTAGTTCAGGAGGCTGAATCTTTGGGGCTGGCTTTTGGATCCTTCTCCTTGGCAGCAAAGAAGAGATCTTCGGCTTGTCTAACCAATTACGGTTAAGATCAATCAACTCATCAAGAGTTCTAAAACTTGCCACACAAGTTCTCCACAACGTCAAATTGTGAGGAGAAGATCATGTTCCAGTGAATCAAGACGTGCGGATAGTCAACAGAGAGCAAATTCGACGCAGACATTTGAGGGAGGCACTCCATCACCACCGTGAAGAACCCAGAATTAAACAAAGGAGAGGATTCAGATCAATCCTCATCTCTTTTGTAATCAGGAATTCGAATTGTAATCGAGAGTTGAGAGAGTTGTAATCATTCTTTTTCTAAGCAGTTAGAGAGAATAAAATCAAATACAGATATTTCATCATTACAAATTTTTCCACAAACAACTTCATATTCTCCCTTCATTTGACTGATGATGAGTTGAGAGTCCCCGTAGGCTTCCAGATGCTTCACCCTCAACTCCTTAGCGAAGTCAAGTTCGATGAGTAGTGCATTGTACTCAACCACATTGTTGGTACATGGCTCAGTTAGTTAGAAAATTCGGGGTAATACATGGTTTTGTAGAGAAACCAGGACTATCCCCACACCTACAACGATAGACCCACTAGTGCCCACGCGAGAGACGTCATCAAAATACAATTGCCAAACTCCTTCTTGCGAGGTTGCATTAACCTTGTGGGTTTCATCCGACATGACTTGAAAAGGTCATTCTTCATCTCGAGCAGGTAACTTGCCATGTAATTGCAGATTGCTTGTCCTTTAACAAACTTCTACGGTATAAAGTGGATGTCGTATTGAGACAACAAGATTGCCCATCGCGCTAGGCGCCAGTTCAAGGACTCGGGCTGTGTCATGAAGACTTGGATGGGATTTATCTGGGAGATGGCATGAATGGTTTGACCGACAAAGTAGTGTCACATTTTTTGAATTGTGAACACTAGGGCAGGCACTCCTTTTCAACCATGGGGTATCGCTGCTCGGCTCCCTATAGGGTCCTACTAAGGTAGTCGATGCCCTACTCGTGGCCACCGTCATCATTCTATGCTAAGAGGGCGTCAAGAGAATGCTCCATTTCTCTTACATAGATTAGGAAGGGTTTTCCTTAGACGGGGGCTGCCAAGACAGGTGGATTCGAGACATAGCTCTTGATCTCATCGAAAGCTTGTTGGCAAGGCTCGTCCTATACGAAGGAAACAACTTTCTTCATCAGCTTGGAGAAGGATTAGCATTTACCCTACAGATTTACAATAAATCTTCAGATGTAAACCAGACATCCTTGTAGTCCTCTCAACTCCTTGAGATACCTGGGTGGTTGGAGCTTTTGGATAGCTCGCACCTTGTTTGGGTCGACGTGGATCCCTTTCGTCATGATGACGAATCCGAGGAACTTGCTACTCATCATGCTTAGGAATAACTTCATAGGGTTCATCATCAGTTAATGGGACCACATGAGGTCGAACATGGCTCTCAGGTCTTGAAGGTGATCATCTTTGTCACGACTCTTCACGACTAGGTCATCCACGTAGCATTCGACTGTCTTCCGCAGATGATCTCGGAAGATGGTGCTCATGGCACGTTGATAGGTTGTGCCGTCATTCTTGAGATCAAAGGGCACTACTGTGTAACAGTATACCCCTACCAGAATCCTGAACGAAGTATGCTTCTCATTCTCAGGGTGCATCATGATCTGATTATACCCCGAGAATCCGTCCATGAAGGACATCCTCTCAAAACCACAGGTGTTGTCCATGATGACATCCGTGATGGGCAGAGGAAATTCATCCTTAGGACATGTATCATTGAGGTCTCTAAAGTCGATACAGATGTGGATCCTATAATTTTTCTTCAAGACTAGAACAATGTTCGCCTCCCAATCGGGGTGTCGCTCTTCCCGGATGAAGCCTGACTTGACTAATTTCTTCACTTCGGCTTAGATCGCCTCCATGATTTGTAGACAAAATCATCTATGCTGCTGTTTGATGGGTTTGGCATCCGAGCCAATGTTGAGGTGATGCATGGCGATCTAAGGATCTAGGCCAGGCATGTCCTTATAATTCAATGCGAAGACATCGATATTTTCCCATATGAGGGATATAAGGTCTTCTTTTTCCTGGGGTTCATCTTCAGTTGATGGCACTGCATGAGGTTGAACATGGCTCTCAGGTCTTGAAGGTAATTATCTTTGTCGTGACTCTTCATGACAGGGTCATCCATGTAGTATTCGATTGTCTTCCATAGATGATCTCGGAAGATGGTGCTCATGGCACGTTGATAGGTTATGCCGGCATTCTTGAGTTCGAAGGGCATTACCGTGTAGCAGTATACCCCAACCAGAGTCCTGAATGAAGTGTGCTTCTCATCCTTAGGGTGCATTTTGATCTGATTATACCCTGAGAATCCGTCTATAAAGGACATCCTTTCAAAACCATTGGTGTTGTTGATGATGACATCTGTGATGGGCAGAGGAAATTCATCATTAGGACATGCAGCATTGAGGTCTCTAAAGTCGATGCAGATGTAGATCCTTCAATTCTTCTTCAGAACTGGAACAATGTTCACCATCTAATTGGGGTGTCGCTCCTCCCTGATGAAGCCTGATTCGATTAACTTCTTCACTTCGGCTTTGATCGCCTCCATGATTTATGGACGAAACTGTCTCTACTGCTGTTTAATGGGTTTGGTGTCCGAGCCAATGTTGAGGTGATGCATGACAATTTGAGGATCTAGGCCAGGCATGTCCTTATAATTCAATGCGAAGACATCGATATATTCCCGTATGAGGGATATGAGGTCTACTTTTTCCTGGGGAGATAAGTTGTTGCTGATAAATATGGGTTTGGGATTTGCCTCTTCTCCCATATTTATTTGGAGTATTTTGTCCTCTGTGGGCGGTTCATGCTGTTTGAAGTGACCACTCCACTAGGCACTGACATGGAGATCACGTGCTTCATCATAAAGCGGAATCTGTTCATCCTCTTGGACTTCATCGGGGTCGACCGTAGCCATGTTGATCGTAAAGTCTTTGAACAGGGCCCTGATGCTGATGTCTGAGTTCCAAGTTGAGGATGTTGATGATTAATCATTTGAGCAAGCATCGTTGGATTTTTCATCAAATTGCAATGCAATTCCGAGGAAGAGGAGGAGTAACCTATCCCTCTTCATGTTTTGTCATAGTAATTGTCCGGCTTCCCTTTGGGGACATAGGCAGGTCAAAGGGGCGTCTTCCGGCCTTTGCCATACTTTAAGCCTTCCTTGCGGGTGAAATCATAACTCATCCTCTCCATCATGCATTTTACGATGGAGCTATAACATGAGAATTGAGGAGCGGGTTCGTCTTCATCTGACTTGTCCCATAGTGCGTGTGCAGGTTAGTCTATCCTTCCGAAGATAATCTCTTGCTGAGAAATATTTCGGGCAGGTATGACAAAGACAGCTTGCAAGGACTAAATCATTTGCCTATTGGTGACAAATGACGAGTGCACAGGCAAGTGTAG